GTTGAGTAGTATTCCACTGCGTGTATGTACCAAAGTTTGTTTATCCATTCTACCACTGATGAGCATTTAGGCTATCTCTGTCTTTTTGCTATAGTGACTAGTGCTGCAGTGAATACAGGTATGCATATATCTACTTGTGTCATGACTTTTATTTTTTAGAGATACATGCTAAGTGGTTACAAATCGGGCTGTGAACTGCAAGGTCAGCAGTTTGAAACTACCAGCTGTTCGTAGGAGAAAGATTAGGCTTTCTGCTCCTGTAAAGATTTACAGCCTTGGAAACCCTGTACAGGGTTGCTATGAGTCGGAACCAACTTCACGGCACATAACAGAGGGATTGTTGGTATGGTTATTTCCAAATCTTTGAGAAGTGCCATGCTGTTTTCCACAGTGGTTGCATTTTCACAGTTCCACCAGCAACATCTAAGATGGTGGATCGGGTAGACGTGCAGTGAGGTGCTCCATCACCAACAACACAGAATACTGGACCAAGCAGGCTCAAAGGATGGTGCTGGAACTCTGAGCCACATATAAAGGAATATTTAGAAGCTTAGAAGGCTTACAGCTAGGGAATTTGTAGCAGTAGCAAGAAATCCTTTGCTTTCTAATTCAAGAAGTTCAGCTGCTCCCAGAGCTGCCATCTTAGGAGAGACCAAGCAGGGGAAGGATCAGAACAGCCATGGACACCTAACAGAACCCTGGAGATACAGATGTGGACATTCTTATTTTGGTATCTGTTCATTGGTCTCTCACTATCTGCGCACCTCCATTCTGGTGACTAGAGGGTATGCCTAAGCGAATGGGCACCCCACCCCCACCCCCGGAGGGTTCTACTATGCATGCATGCAGATCCCCTCAAAATTTAAAGTGCCAATTTCCACTTAAAACCAAATGGCTACCACTCATCTGTCAGTTTGTTGTACTGTGGTGGCTTGTGAGTTGCTGTGATTCTGAAAGCTATGCCATTTTAAATACCAGCAGGGTCACCCATGGTGGACAGGTTTCAGATGAGCTTCCAGACAAAGACACACTAGGAAGAAAGAGTGATGAACTACTTCTGAATACTTAGTCACTGAAAACCTTATGAATAGCAGAGAAACACTGTCAGATATAGTGCCAGAAAATGAACCTCTCAGATTGCAAGGCACACTAAATGCAACTGGGAAAGAGCTGCCTCCTCAAAGTAGAGTTGACTGTGATGACGCGAATGGAGTAAAGCCCGTAGGAGAAAAGCCCATGGGACCTTCATTTGCTGATGGGACACAACTCAAAAATGAAGAGAAACAGCTGTAAACATCCATTAAAAATCAGAACATGGAATATACAAAGTATGAATCTGGGAATATTGGAAGTTGTTAAAAATGAAATGTAACGCATAAACATCGATATCTTAGGCATTAGTGAGCTGAAATGGACTGTTATTGACCATTTTGAATCTGACAACCACATGGTGTACTGTTCTGGGAATGACAAATTGAAGAGGAATGGTGTTGCATTCATTGTCAAAAAGAACATATCCAGATCAGTTATGAGGTACAATGCTGTCTGTGATAGGATAATATCCATGCGCCTA